ATTTCGTGACTCTTTATTCAATGTGAAATATTAGAGCTGTCAAGCTGCTATAAAATTTGACAGTGATATGAAGAGTGTACATGAGTCATAGTTCTGATACAAAATAACCAAACTTCACAATGTGTGTACTGCATGTGTGTTTAATGTCTTTTATGTATATGCAACGGAGGCCAGCTAGTGAAGTGCTATGCAGGTAAACCTCACTCCTCTGACCTCTAAAGATGCTCTAGCGACAGACACTGAAGGCCATAATCTTTAGCCTCTTTCAAAGAGCAGCCAACTCCCATGTAAAGAATCGCTGTTTTGACCCCACCTCAGCGTGAGATGGGTGCAGTAGGACCGGTGGGTTACATGAGTGTATCAGAAGCTTGCTAGAAAAGTGCTAAACAGGTAAACCTCACTCCTCTGACCTCAAAAGGTGCTCTAGCAACAGATGTTAAAGGCCATGGTCTTTAGCCTCTTTATTAGAGCAACCGACTTCCATGCAAAGAATCGGCAGTTCAATCCCAGCTCAGACCAGGTTGACAGCCGTAGTAGCGGTGGGTTACACGTGGGAGCTCGTCCGGGATGGGAGAAAGCTTTGGGGGTGAGTGTAACGAAAGCTAGCTAGCGAAGTGCTATGCACGTAACCTTACTCCTCTGACCTCTAAAGGTGCTCTAGCGATAGATGCTAGAGGCCATGGTCTTGAGCCTCCTCGTTAGAGCAACAGACTCCCGTGTAATGAATTGATGGTTCGATTCCAGCTCAGCGTGAATTAGGGGCAGTAGGACCGGTGGGTAACACATGGGGGCTCGTCAGGGATGTGTGTGAGGTTTAAGGGGTGATTGTAATGGAAGCCAGCTAGCAAAGTGCGATGCAGGTAAACCTCAGTCCTCTGACCTCTAAAGGTGCTCTAGCGACAGATGCTAGAGGTCACAGTCTTTAGCCTCCTTGTTAGAGCAACTGACTCTATGCTATGCAATGAATCGCCAGTTTAATCCCACAATTGAACAATTGAAGTCAGAATTTTTTTCCACTCAATTCTAATATTAGTTCATTCATACATTCATTTTCTTTTTGGTTTCATCCCTTTATTAATCTGGAGTCGCCACAGCAGAATGAAGCGCCAAATTATCCAGCATATTTTTTAATCATTTTTATTAATTGTTTTTATTTTTCTTATACTTGCTTTTTTTATTTCCCAGTGATGGGTTGCAGCTGGAAGGGCATCGTATGTAAGTTTATTTATATAGCACATTTCATACACAGTGGCAATTCAAAGTGCTTTACATATACAGGAATAAAATAAGCAAGTATAAGAAAAATAAAAACAAATAATAAAAATCATTAAAAAAAACATAAAAACAGATCAAATGTGTTATAAAAGAATGAAAGAGAAGAGAAAAACATAATAGTACAATCTGTCGGACGTAGCACAGTGCTCATTCAGAAAAGGCACAGCTAAACAGATGTGTTTTCAGTCTTGATTTAAATGTGCCTAATGTTGGAGCACATCTGATCATTTTCCTGATTCCAGCAGCGAGGGGCGTAGTAGCTGAAAGCTGATTCACCCTGCTTTGACCTAACTCTTGGAATTTCTAGTTTATTTGAACCTAGAGATCTGAGTGATCTGTTTGGTTTGTATTCAGTCAGCATATTTGTAATGTATTGAGGTGCTAGGACATTTAGTGATTTATAGACAAGTAATAATACTTTAAAATATATTCTAAATGTAACTGGGAGCCAGTGTAAAGACCTGAGGACTAGTGTGCTGTACTCTGATTTCCTGGTTCTGGTCAGAATCCTGGCAGCAGCGTTCTGGATGAGCTGTAACTGTCTGACTGTCTTTTTAGGAAGGCCCATGAGAAGGCTGTTACAGTAATCCACCCTGCTGCGGATAAAAGCATGAAAAAGTTTCTAAGTCTTCACTTGAAACAAAGCATCTGATTCTTGCAATGTTTTTGAGATGATAGTATGCTGATTTACTAACTGCTTTGACATGACTATTGAAACTCAGATCTGACTCCACAGTCACACCAAGATTCTTGACCTTATTTTTTGTTGTTTGACCTTTAGAGCCAAGGTACGCATTTACCTTGAGAACCTCATCAAACCTTACCAAACGCAATCACTTCAGTTTTCTCTTTGTTTAACTGAAGATAGTTTTGGCACATCCAAATGTTAATTTCATCAATGCACAGGCAGAGGGTGTCAATGGGGCTGTAGTCATTAGGCAGTAAGGCTAGGTAGATCTGAGTGTCATCAGCAAAGCTGTGGTATGAGATATACACATACACTCCGGACAATTTAATTTCCCCAATTCACCTATTCCACATGTCTTTGGACTTGTGGGGGAAACCGGAGCACCCAGAGGAAACCCAGGCAAACATGCAAACTCCACACCAACTGACACAGTTGGGGCTCAAACCAGCACCATCTTTCTGTAAGGCGATTGTGCTACCCACTGCGTCACCGTGCTGCCCTCTAACAATAGTTTTCATATCTAATTTCTGACTGATTTCTTTTTATCTTTGCCATGATTACAGAACATAATAATTTACTAGATATTTTACAAGATACTATTATTCAGCTTAAAATGCCATTTAATGGCTTAAGTAGGGTAATTACAGTAGGCACAATATGGTAAATAGGCATTGTATAACAGTGGTTTGTTATGTAGACAATCAAATAAAATATTGTTTAAGAGGGCTAATAATAATGACCTTAAAAAATGTAAAACTGATTTTATTCTAAACAATATAAAATAAATAAGACTTTCTCCAGAAGAAACAATTTAATAGGAAATACTGTGAAAAAAAATCCTTGCTTGTTAAGCGTCTTTTGGGAAATATTCGAAAAAGAAAAAAGAAAAATCACAGAAGGGCTAATAATACTGACTTCAACTGTATAGGGATGCTGACTATATTACACTATAGCAGTGCTTTTTTTTGAAAACACGTTTTTAGGATTACATCATGTTTGTTTGTTTGTTTTTTAGCAGCTTTGCACTGGCAAACATGACGCTTGTTGTTATGCCTGCAGTGCTCTGACATTGAGTTGGACGGGCTTGTGAAACTCTGCATAACTTCTGATGTGTGCTCCAACAATGAAGAAATGGGAGGCAGAGGCTTGTTGTCACATGGGAACTATACAGTTTTGACTCATAAGTCCAATTATACCAATGTGTGTTTTCTCTGTAGCAAAGGGTTCAGTTACAAATGCCAAGTTCAAGAACCTTTGAAATGATATGTTTTGTGAAATCTGTCTTCTAAGCTAAAATTGTAATACCATCATAATGACTTTGGTCTTTTTTTATTTACTCCACAATATCATTGCTTACTCTCTGAATATGTATGATTGTGTCAAATATGGGTAAACCCCAATCATTCAGTTCAATTCAATCTTTATATGATGCTTTTACAATCTAGATCAGAGGTACCCAAACATTTTCTTATGAAGGGCCAAAAACAAAACATGATGGTTGTGGGCCGAAGTTAAATGTATTGCATTAAAGTCGCCATGGGTAATTTCCTAATTTATTTCACAATATATAAAAATTCATAGCAAAAAAATACTTTAATCAAGTTACCTAATGCATTATTTCTTTTTACACCTTATAATGAATTTATTACAAAAAAAAAAAAACATTACAATTCATGTTATAACACAATGGAGTTCAACGCTGTATACACTAGTAAAGTTGCCAATGTCTTGTGCATTGTTCTCTCTCTGTCAAGTGACAGTATTTAAAATAAAAATGAAAAATCTGACTAAAATCTAAAAATCTTATTCATTTACAACATTTGATTGAAAAATTTAACTTCAGCTAGCTTTTTTGTGGCTTAACAATAAAACAAACTAAATGTCAAGTTAAATCAGAAATGATAATATCTGTTAAATCTATCAATATTTGTCATTCTCTCTTTCTCCCCAGATGGGACGGTGGGCCAAATCAAAGGTTACCATGGGCCAACTTTGGCCCGCGGGCACTAGTTTGGGCATCTCTAATCTAGATTGTGTCAAAGAAGCTTAACATAGAAGTTCTAGTAAAAGTGAAACAGCCCCAGCAGTTTCAGTTTCTTATTATTAACACTGATAAAAGTTATATTATTTTGATGATAGCTATAAAAAAATTTTTCATAAATCATTTAAGATTTTAAAGATTTTCATTGATCAATAAAAAAATATATATATTTTTTCAAAATAAAATACAAAATAAATAGCCTAATTAATATTTTTAACTTATGTATTGCTAAGCAACATATTACTTTCACATGTATTTACTTTAGTTAAGTTTAATTCAGTTTTTAAATTAATTTAACTAATATTATTATAATATAATAATAGTAATATTAAAATGATCATATGATTTATGTACAATATAGTTTGTAAATGAATATTGTCTGTGTTTTAATAGATATAAAAGAGACTTGTTTTGTTTACCAAATAAGTGAATCTAATTGGATTTGCATTGTAAACATCAAATAAAAGTTAAAAATGTATATATATATATATATATATATATATATATATATATATATATATATATATATTTTTTTTTTTTTTTTTTTTATATGTTAAGTTTGTAGTTATGATTCTCCTAAAATCATTCCGCATAAATCCGCAGATACATTTTTTTTAACAAAATATCCGCTGATTCTGCTGAGTCCTACTTATTACTTTACTTATAGTGTTAGACAAGATGCCATGCATGATGTCAATGAAGTTTATCCTTTTCAATTATTTGTGTTTTTCTAATTTAGTATTTTTTATTTGTTTTTGTTTGTTTATTAGCCAATAATTTTATTAAAAAAACTTTTTAACAAACAATTTTTGGTATAGGCTAGTTTATCCTTGATCTTTTAAACAATGCAATAAACACAAGTGCAAACTGCTTGCTCAGAAATAGGCAACGAGTTATTCACTGCAGCTCTCTGCCATGTCCCTTTTGGTAGTATGTTTTGAAAACTGTGCCATACATAATTCATATAGCTACTAAGCCAAAAGAGCGTAGCCCTCCAAGTCCAACATATGGCAGTGCCCCTCGCCAATCCGTGGAGGGGGCATTTGTCTGGAGTGCCATTCAGACCAATGACAGCAGCATGTGGGCGTGTGTTGAGAGTGTGTGAGGTGCTTTTTGAGTTTAGTAAATGACTGCAGCAAGAAATACTGAGGGGCTGAGAGGCTTGTGAGCGATGGAACAGACTCTGTGTACTGAAATATCAACGTTTGGGCTTTTCTGACGAGGATTCGAGACAAAAACAAAATGAGCAGCGTCTCCTAACTGGACCAGACAATGGAAGTAGCTTCATGCAGCACTAACAATTCACCCCTGGGAAACAAGTACGCACTAAATCAGACTACCTCAGCCAGAGGTAGCTAAAACTAACGTGTGGCTCGAAAGCGACACATTTCTTCATTGGGATGCATGTACAAAGAAGCGCGGAGGGAAAGAGCAGACGCATATGTATATTTCCCCAATGACTTTGATGGCTGCGAGGAGGTATAGTGTATAGTTTCGTTTCTTTCAAATGTTTGCGATGGAGCGTCTGTGAATATTCTTGGCGACTGCGCATCTGATGCTGCTATGGATCGTCCGGAATGAACATCTGAATTTATCTCGTCGAGTTTTTTCCACAGCGCCGCTTCTTCCACCTGAAATTCCGCAACCCGCGTGAAACAGGAGCTCCGCTTCACCTACACAGTCGCTGTCGGGAAAATGACCAGCTCGTCTGTATGCTCTTGAGATTTGTTTGGCCTTTTTGGGAATCTGAAACGAGCAAAGGACGAATTGTTCACCTCAGAAGTGCGAGAAGAAGGAATTGTAGGGCGCGCTGAGCTGTAGCTTAACTACATCCACTCATCTCCAACCTGACACAATGTTCGCACTCGGGATTTATTTGTGGGAAACTATTGTATTTTTCAGGTACGTATCACCTTGTTTTGATGCAAAAGTGTTATTGTTTTTTACTCAAACACAATATTTCATTGTTTTCCATTGAAATAGATGATTTCTTTAGCTACTTTTCCTGAGAATGTTCTGTTTAAGAAGGTAGATGAGATGCCATGTAGCAGTGATTGACTCCGTGGCCTGCTGGTTCATCTGATGAAATATAATGCCTGCTAATTAAAAATAAACTAAGTCATAATTCCGTGTCATTCATCCAAGTCAGAAGAAGTAAGGATTCCTTTTAAATTTGACTAAACAGCGAACACTAGTGGTCATTTAGTGGATAGAAAGTTATCAACAGGCTTATGAAGGAAAGTCACTTACCTATTTAACAAACAATTAAGTGGAAGCAAAATAACTTTCAGAATAATTGATTTTTTTTATAAATTATAAATGACTAACTGTAAATCTATAATATAATTAATTTGTCTTGTGCTGCTCAGCCTTTTAGCAACCCTCACGCACTTAGCGATAAACCGTTATAAAGATGCACTAGCATTTTTGTATTGTGTTGTGTAAAATCAATGCCATAAATAATGTCTGTATTTTTGTTACTATTATTATTATTATTATTTATTATTATTATTATTATTATTATTGTTGTTGTTTTTATTGTTATTATTTTATTGGTAGAGAATAATCAAGCTCTGTTGCCATGGTTACATCGTCACGTAACATCGATTACCATGTATTTAACACGCAATAAAGTTGTAAACTTTTAATTTGTGAAACGATATTAAAATGTTTTTGAAATTATGTAAAAAATTCCACACTAGACCTATATATTTTTCTTTTTCTTTTTTTTTTTCTTTTTTCTGTGGAACCCTAAGCATTATTTAAGAATCCATAACATTCATAATTCTCAACTTAAACAATGGAAACTGTGTTGTGGAATATATTAATATATATTCTTATGCACAATATTTGTTTTTGTTTAATATACAAGTATGCGTAAAATGACTGAGCCATATACATGGCACTAAAATATAGGCCTGTTAATTTTTTTGTTTTTGCACAAATTATTAATTTGCAGATGCAATCTATTTCGAGCCCTCCACATATGGATTATTGAATCAAAACACTGATTATCTCAAGAATCCTCTATAAAACAAGCACATTGTGAAGCATTTTCACCTTATCTGGCCAGTGGCTTGCAGTAATTATTTTGCATTCTATGGGCACTATTTAGTTAATGAACTAGAATCAGGATATTGCAGTCTCAGCTCTTGCTGCTGAACTTTGCAGAGCCTGTTAATTGATATCTCTTTCCCAGTCTCAGCCTGCACCCCAACCTCATTGCACATGCAGACATATTACTAAACATTGATCACTCTGTCAATGCTAATTCCATTGACGAATACAAATTGTACACAAAAATAGTTTGCTCTATGATTTGAATCTCTAATTGATTTTCATATTAGAGTGCACATTTTTGTCCATGCAGGAATTGTCTTGTGAGAGGCTGCGGTGTGCATGTCACCAGAGCTGCTAAAACACAAGGCATGCATAAAGCACACATGACGTTATGTCATTGTGATGTCATACTAACATATGCAGGTAGTTGTGTGCAGTAATCCAATCAATGGCTGTAGTCAATATTAGGCATGGGCCCGTATATGATTCTGACGGTATGATAACCTTGGATAGAAATATCAAGGTTTCACGGTATTATGATTACTGCTTTAAAATATATTAAAATATATTCTTTTTAAATGTCTGGGGAAAAAACTAAAACTTTGTTCCCCTTTGAACACAATATATTTTATTTTGAGAAACATTTAAAATAATTTGTAATAGTAAACATGTCAGGCTATATATAGTTTCAATGTTAAACCGGCATCTTTGATGTCTTTTCTGCTGGAGATAAAAGAAAATGTAAATAAAAAATACTTTTTATTACGTAGGAATGGTATAACAGGAAATTTTGGCTGTTTTAAAATTTTGTTGTCCCATGCCTATCCAATATATACACCTCATAATACATATGCTGAGCAAACCGTATTTTATCCCAATGAAATCTACCAAAGGACTACTTAAATATTATATTAATCTAACATTAAAAGAAATATCATTATATCAAGTCAAATTTAAATATAATTGTTTTATATTATGCTACATAAACAGTAAAAAAGTATACCTATAAATAGGGCTGTGCGATTTGGGGAAAATATCTAATTGAGATTTTTCTGACAGATATCGCTATTGCAATTTGATTTGCAATTTAATTTCATAGTCAAGCTTCAGGTCAATAATCTGCAAGCTGTGACAACAATTCTGCGACAGCTCTTGAAAATTACCTGTTTTTGTTTGGTGTCTGTGACTTTGAAACCAAAATATTCCTATATTACTGATGTTCTGTTTTTCTTTTATGTGTCTATTAATGCTTCTAAAGCAGCAGACGCCACTTTCACAATTGTTCACGCTTTCCTATTTTTTTGTTTTGTTTTGTTTTTTTATTGTGGGCATTCCGCATAGTTCGGTTGTGCAAATGTGATTGGGCAGAACGAAAGTGTGCTCACTCAATTGGCTAGTAAGAGTATCACACACAGACGGCAGTCATGTATATGCTCTAGGCGGGGAAAATTAGAACTAATCGTAACGTTTCAAATTGCGATTGCGTTTCAATTTCGATTAATCACACAGGCTTATAAATACTATTTATCTGCATTTCTAGAAGTAAAGGATATGCCATCACAACCATTTAAATAAATAATATGAATGCTTTGTGATTGTGCTGTACTGTACGTTTCGTATAAGCAGAAAAAATGAAAAGCAAGGGCTTTCTGTAGTCCTTTGCCAATGTCCTTGTACTCCCCCTTTTTTGTGTATTAAGTATACAATGTCATTTGAGTACCAGTTTTCATGAAAACCCATTTCATGAAAATTTACATTAGTGTTTTTGTCAAATATCTTCATGATAAAAACTGAAATAATTGCATTTGCTTCAATTAATTACTAAAATACTTACTATAAGAGATTAGCATCAGTTTATTTTCAGTCTCTCTATTGAGCAGGTAGCGACAGCAATCAAACAGAAGCAGATGCATATCTATACTCTCCCAATTCCCTCATTAAAAGTGAATGTAAATGACTGAAAGGATGGCTAGTTCAGTATCTGAAGAACAAAAAGCCTATATATAGTCGGTTTATTTTTAGGAAGGTTTGTTCCTAACTGCTGAAGCCTCATTAATAATCAAAGACAGAATCATACCACAAATAGCACTGACCCATCACTAGAGATGCTTCTTTTGATTTCGGATCGTTCTTTATGTCTGAAAAGGTTTTTATTCATCGATATATGCGGTAGCAGTTGGAGCACCTTTGGGCTTGTACTGAAATGTTCTCTTCTGTCCTTCAGTTTTGTAGCCGCATTGACAAATTGAGTGCGGCTTGAAGAAATGCCATCTTGGTGCCAGAGAGGCCTTTGATTTCTTGAGTGTTACACGATCAATAGGGATTGTGTTCATCAGTGGTCCTAAGAACATAATGAGCTACACTTAGGGCTAATGATTGGATCCTCGCATTTAAAGTATGCAGGTCTCTGGGTTGTTTGCATATATTTTCTGGCAGGATGCTCTGGTTTGGTTCCTGCTGCATCAGCAGAAAGATCAGGCCCTCTCCACTGCTTTGACCGGCATCGATCAAGGTTCATTTGTTCAGCGCTGCCTTGATCAGTGAAACTATTAATTACGAAAGATGCACATTACAGTATGTATCCAGCTGACTCTCTCCTGTGTGTCAGTGCAGTGAGATGGCTATGCAGGAAAGCAAAACTAATAGAGACTGTATCCTCAAATTTCACAGTGTCACAAAGAATAGCGTGTTTGCGTGAAGAGTCTATAGTGATGGAGAAAAGCTGTGGGAGAGACTCAATAATCTGGCATGCCATGGCTAATCTCATTATGCTGGCATTGCAGAATTGTACATTAAACACAATGAAATGTGTTTCTTAACGTGTGAGAAACAATCAACGCGTTATTTGACTAAAGCTGGATGTATTTGATCAAACGAGCTGTGTTAATTTATTACAATTGTAAATAACTGTTTAGTGTATTTTAAAATGTTATTTACTACTGAGATCACAGCATTTATTACACATTCTTCACATGAGCATTTAATAATCATTCTAATCAATTTAAATATGATTTTGTGTTCAAGAAAGTTGCTGTTATTGTTATTATTATTGTTGTTGTTATTAGTATTATTTTCAATAATATGATTGTTTTATATATACAGTTAAGTCAGAATTATTAGCCCCCCTGAATTATTAGCCCACCTGAATTATTAGCCCCTCTGTTTATTTTTTCCCAATTTCTGCTTAAAAGCAGATTTTTTCTACACATTTATAAACATAATAGTTTTAATAACTCATTTCTAGTAACAGATTTATTTTATCTTTGCCATGATGACAGTAAATAATATTTTACTAGATATTTTTCAAGACACTTCTATATAGCTCAAAGTGACATTTAATGGCTTAACCAGGTTAATTAGGGTTACTAGGCAAGTTATTATATAATGAGGGTTTGTTCTGTAGACTATTGAAAAAATATATAGCTTAAAGAGGCTAATAATATGAACCTGCTTTTACTCTAGTCGAAATAGAACAAATAAGACTTTCTCCAAAAGAAAAAAATATTGTCAGACATACTTTGAAGATTTCCTTGCTCTGTTAAACATAATTTGGGAAATATTAAAAAAAATTATATTATTATTATTATTAATATTATTATTGTCATTAATGGTATTATATACTGTATGTATATATATATATATATATATATATATATATATATATATATATATATATATATAATTTATTATCATTGTCGTAATTATTATTATTAATATTATTTATTTTATTTTATTATTATTATTATTTTTGTCATTAATGGTGTTATTATTTATATATTAATATTGTTTTTATTATTTAGTTTCATTGTCTTCATTATTATTTCTTTAATTTTATTATTATCATTAATATTCATTATTATTATTATTATTATTAAAAACAGAATTAATGGTGAAAACAGTGCTGCTTAACCAAGGCTTTTTTTGTAATGCAGAAAACACAGACGGAATAGGGTATATCCCGAAGCATGCTAATAGGACTTTTAATTTGCCTGTAACCTGGGTTAACCGCTTCCGGTGAACTGAATGCCTTTGCAAAATTGGCGCGTTTAAGGTCTGTTTTCTTTAAAAATCAGTGACCTCCACTGGCTGAGTGATATCTGATATAAAGTGGGTCTCAGATTGTACAGGAAGCACTGCATTAAATTATATTTTTCCCGCCATGTCTTTAGAATATGAGCATTTATTTTACCCCAGTATATTCAATGGAGCTTCTGCGCTAGCCCGCCGATTCCGAAAGGCGTGTGCGAGTAAATGGCTTTTTGTCTCGTTTTACACTTGAGCAACTAAATGATTGCCAAACTCTGTTTAACTGATTGTTTTTTATTGTGAAATCCAACCATAAAAACGGAATTAGGCGATAATGTCGAATGTTATGGAGTTTGGAAAATTGTGCATGAACAAATCAGAAGAAATACTTAATATTGTGGATTCAAGTTTATTAACAATAAGTATCAAAAAGACCATTTAAATGTTAAGTCTGCATGTTCTCTGTGTGAATAAATGGCTAGGCTTCATTTACACACTTGTGGAAACAAACATGATGCTTTTGCCTGTGGTGTTTACAGTGTCTGCCACCTCAGCATACCAGCAGAGGACATGAACGTCATGAGTAGAGCTGCTCCTATAGACACGTCACAAGTTTTGCATCATTTTATTTGAGAAAAACACACACGACAACTCAAAAGTCTTCACAATGCACAAAGAAAAAATGTTTGGTTTTAACTTGGAACAAAGTGTGGGGATCTGTACATCCCTACTATTACTACTGTAGAGTAGGATATACTTATACATAGTAGTTATAATACTTTTATTGCATTTACATTTATTATTCGATAGATTTTTTAAAAATCCAAATAAGGGCAGTAAAGTAAAAAAAAAAAAGATAGTGGAAAACAAAAAATATCAAAGCAACAAAACAGCAACGACAATTCCCAGATGACCTTAATAATAATAATAATAATAATAATAATAATACTATTGATAATAATTTATTATATATTTTTTAAGAAATATTACACAATTATAATGTTTTTATTATAACCACATAAAACAATATTCTACACCTACGTGTACAGATTTTTTCTTAAGCTTTTGATGTTGATAAATGCTAACGCTTATCACCTCTTATGGAAGCATTTGATTAAAATTCAATGGAACATGTTTGGGTGTTCTCCAGACACATTTTAGCTTTAAAAGACACTGGAGCAGCATTTCCTGGAGTATTTCCCTTTATGATGTATCCACATTTAAATGCCAAGCACTTCTCCAGTTTAATAGTTACCCGACACCAGCAAATGTTAATGAGCAAAAAGAATAATGATGTGCAGAGCAGGAAAAAAAAAGCCTGACTATTGGTTATTTCCAAAACAATGGATAGCCGGTGACGCAGAAAGTCAATGGACATGAAAGAATAATGGATATCCCGCCAAAACAGTTAGACAGGATTCAGTGGCTGGTTAAGAAAATAGAGCAATTCCCTCCAAAGAAAGACCCATGAAATTGGCAAGAAAAGGACCATGTCTCAAGGACTTAGTTGAAATCAATATACCACAGGCTATTTTATGATTATTATCCTCCATTTTTGTCAGACACACTAATGTTAGATGGAAAAAAATGTCTATTGTTCCATTGAGTTTACAGCAGGAGGACTTGAATGAGTCGATACATATTAAAGTCCATCATGTACAGGGACTTGGCAATTAAATACGGGGCAGATAAAGAGCCCTATGGAAGCAGTTAAAATGCGACTGAAAGTGTTATAAGCTAAAAAAGCCTGTGGGAGAAGTTAAGGTCAGTTAGTGACCTGACACCGAACGGACATCTACACCGAGGTGTCAAAAGCACACTGTTAGCACTAATTAAGCTCTAATGGATCCCATTGCTAATGAAGCCACTGATACTCGTGTATGACAAAGCCTCATTTCCATCCTCTTTTATGGATTCTCCTTTGGAGCCTCGAGTCTGGATATTTAAATCCAAAGCTCTTTTTTTCCCAATTGTTTAATATCACTGTTAAAAATGACAGCATGTGATGTAACTGTGCATTTCAGCTCGGAATAAAATAAGTGAGTCAGAGATATCGCCGTGCCTTAGGGAAGAAAAAGTGATAATTAAAAAAGAAATCTCATAATGCAGCACTCGTGCTCCTCTGTTTTTTAATGCACCCATCTTTCTGTCGTTTCCACAGCCTGGCAGCATCCCAACAAGCAGCGGCTCGGAAAGCTGCATCCCCAATGCCTCCCTCAGAATTCCTGGACAAGCTAATGGGGAAAGTGTCCGGTTATGATGCAAGAATCAGACCTAATTTCAAAGGTAAGTCTATCCACCAAGACACTGCTGGATATCACAGGAATGTAGCCAAGCTGCATTTTGAAAAGTGTTTTTTTAAACACGTGTTTAGTCTCTAATGACGCATTTGGGTAACAAAAAAAAAAAATACAAAATATGCAGCGTTTCTAAAAGCACAAAGACTTTCAAATGCCTTTTTCAGTGTTTTTTTTTATTCATCTATTTTAAATCGATAATTCTAAGCATTAACATGTTGAAATTTTGGTAATTTTGGATTTGAAAATAATCATGTGTTTTTTTTAAACTAATGTTTTGAAAAACAAGGGATTTTAATAACTAAAAATTACAAAAAATATAAAACAAATTATAAAATATGCAGTTTTTTCTAAAACCACAACTATTTGCAAAGGAAATTTGCAAGTTTCTTCAGTGTTTTCTTTTTTCTTTCTTTTTTAAAAATAGATAATCATTACCATGTAATTCTGAGCATTAACATTTTGTGTTCAGGTCATTTTGGATCCAGGTATGTATGGAGTAAAATATGCCAAAATTATTTTTGGTAAAATTATGTGTGAATTTGTATTAGTATTGCTATTGCATTAGTATTAGTAGGAAAATAAAATACAAGTAAATATATACAATTAAAATAAATGTATTTTGTTTTATAACTTTTTAGAGTAACATTTATGCTATTTTGATGTTATTTGTTAGAATTAAATATGTATTTTTCTTTCATTTTGACATCTGAACAGTTTTTATTTGAGTTAAACAATATGTATTCATACACTGTAAAAGATTATATGATTGGTTAGTCCCGACAGCATATGTTTTTAAGTCATTGTAAATTATTAAACTAAGTTTATCATGTTCTAACTTAATTTTGCAAGTTACGCAAGTCAATAAGTCAATGGACTCATAAGATTTTTTTGATTCAGCTTAAAATTATTAAAGACTTTTTAAAAAACTTTTACAGTGTACAAGTCAAATTTCTCATCAGTTATACAAGTACACATTTTGCTGTGTGTAATTTCACATTTCAAATAATTTGGCTATTTCTTAATCAATAAAAAGTAGTAAAATGCATTAATAGTATGGGAAAATTGTGACATTAAAACAAATTATATATTACAAATATAATGTTACATATGATGTTTAGAGTGTAATATTAATTATAATGGTTCTCCCTAAAATACTTTTCAGATAATGTTTATAGCATATTCCATCTAAAAGTGATTTTATTATTTATTCTGAAGGCTATTTAATGATTAAAAAACAGTTTATACTTCAGTGCATGATTCAAACATAATAATAAATTATATTATGAATGCCTCGCCAGAAATAACATTTACATTAGTTATATTAGGAAACCTGCTCCAAAGCTGGCTACATTCCTGTTTACGGTCCATGATCTTGAATCATTATCCTGAGTGAATGTCTATGGTGGTGCTCTGTATCCTTTATATTATATTGTGTGACGCGTGCTGGCACTGTTAGAAATAGACACCCATGATGCATGTCAGAGGTCTCCTCATATTCAACAACATATTAATGTCAGTCATTGCAAATTATAGTCGTGCCTGTTCCCTAGCTATTCTAGGAAATGCACAACAGATCATTTTAAAGGTATGCTGGTAAAATGTAAATAAAAAATGTTTTTAAAAAGATGACATTATATTAAATACATTTAAAAATTGTGAAATGATAAATACAAAAAATGCTTATATACAGTTGAAAATATATATAACGTATATACAGTTGAAGTCAGAATTATTAGCCCCCCTGTAATATTAGTGCCCCTGTTTATTTTTTCTCCAATTTCTGTTTAATGGAGGGAAGATTGTTTCAGCACATTTCTAAGCAGTTTTAAAAACTTATTTCTAATAACAGATTTATTTTGTCTTTGTCATGATGACAGTAATTAATATTTTACTTGATATTTTTCAAAGCACATCTATACAGCTTAAAGTGACATTTAAAGGCTTAATTAGGTTAATAAGGTGAACTAGGCAGGTTAGGGTATTTAGGCAAGTTATTGTATGATGATGGTTTGTTCTGTAGACTATCGAGAAAAAAAAATAGCTTAAAGGGGCTAATAATTTTGTCCCAAAAATGTTTTTTAAAAAACAAAAGCTACTTTTATTCTAGCCTAAATAAAACAACAAAGACTTTCTCCAGGAGAAAAAATATTATCAGACATACTGTAAAAATGTCATTGCTCTGTTAAACATAATTTGGGAAACATTTAAAAAAGAAAATCAAAATCAAAAGGGGGCTAATAATTCTGACTTCAACTGTACGTGTGTGTGTGTTGTGAAAATATGACAACTAAATGGCAATGTGGATTAGTTCCTTAAAAAAACAATATATATATATATATATATATATATATATATATATATATATATATATATATATATATATACAGTGCTCAACATAAACGAGTACACCCTTCACAGATCTCTCTTTTAAGTTCATATTTAAGTATTTCATACTTGTACATTAATATATTTGATCATATAGATGAGATCAGTCCATATCAATGGCAAATCTGCAGCTAATCTAACAACAACAGCCAACATTTTAGTTTATACGTAAATAATAAATAGTACGTAAATAGTAAATAAAATGTTATTAAAGCATAAAAATTAAGAGAAAAACTGTGTTTCAGATAGTGAAATGATTTTTGGTGTTTTTTTTTTTGAGAAATATTTCTCATATTTTGAAAAAATGCTTTGAATTTGAAAAAAAAAACACTCTGGGCAAATTTACTACCTTTTTTTTATTATGTTAGGGATGAAAACATCCACTAAATTAAACTGCTGTAAAAATGCATCAGATAATTTTTTTTTTTTTTTTCAAAAAGATTTTAGCATAAATCTCTTAATCAACATCAGTGACAGTCCTGATCAAAACTGCTACATTCTTTAGAAAATTACAGGATTTTAACTCTTTGATTGTCAAATTCATAAATGATGTGATGAAAAAAACCCCACACAAAATTACTTATTTTCAATATAAAAAAAGTAATTGTGTACTGGATTTTTTTTACTTTTTATTAAAGTGTGTGTATGTGTGTCTGTGAAAGTGAGAGTGACCACAATTACCTTGAGAAAATCAAAATTTGCATTTTCGCTCTTAGAACTACATGGAGTAAATAAAAACAAGACTGTATTTATGCACCATCAAATGTGGTTATAATGGAAGCCAATGGAGCAAAATCAGCTACCAACAGTAAATTAGGGAGAAAAAAGGAAAATCTAAAAATGCATCAATGCCAATGTTGTTACTAATGGCACACATGTTCAAGACTTTGAATAAAGGTTAAAAAAAATCCAGTCCACAATACATTTTAAATTGAAAATACGTCATTTTGTGTTTTTTCATCAAATCATTGACAACATTTTGGCAATTGAAGAGTTAAAATCCTGTAATTGTCTAAGCAATTTAGTAGTTTTGATCAGGACTGAGGTTGATTAAAAGATTTATGCAAAAAAAAAAAAAAAAAAATGCTACCAAGATTTATCCTATGTATTTTTTTACAGTTTAATTCAGTGGATGTTTCCATCCCTAACATAGCAAAAGTGTAAGCAATTTGAACAGTGCACAAGGGTTAAATGTATTATCTTTCTATGTCTAAAGATGTAAGGTGACCAAACTTTTATTTTAATGGATAAAACTGTTTAATAATAAAAAATATTGTCTGCATTCACTGGGAAATTGATGCAAATCTTCATTTTCAAGAATAAAGGGTGTACTCATTTATGCTGAGCACTGTTTATTTGCTTTTATTGTGTATAGTGTATATATTCAATTGAATGTGAATATTCATCCCCTTTTAAAAGTATTATTTGAATGCATATTGTTTATTCTAGATGAATGTATCAGATGTGTGATTACTGTGCATGCGTGTTAACCAGTAACACTTTATAATAAATCAAGCAAGCGATGTACTGACATTCTATAACGCTTAACAAATCATTATTGTTGTACGTTTAAACACGAAGTACTGATCTGTTAAGCTTTATATTAAGCTGCATTATATCTATGTCACTAAACGTTATTATAAAGTGTTCTCCTTTGATTTGTTTAGGCAGTAACACTAATGCAGTATGCTAAATGATGTTTCACAAAGTAACCTGTAATCTGACAAATGTCTACACTTTGTATGTGTGTACATCTGACTCTTCCTCTGAAAGTCGTAGGTAGGTAAAGCATTACTGAATGATAGGAACATTACAGTAATGTATCCTTAGATACTTTGTCTGGACTGTTAAACCTGCTTGAACGCTTAAATGGCAAACGGCCCCCCCTGTCTGGTTTTGAGAGGCCTTGCATCTTAACCTTGCTCGTGGCAACGGATTTATTTCTTTTATTTATTTATTTTTTGTTGACAGCCAGTGCTGTGATACCGGGAATGAATTCTGACATCTTAACTTCTGCTGTTTGCTGAGTTTTGCTGCAACCTTGTTATGGTGAACGCCGTCATATTGCGGAGTTTGTTGATTGTTTTCTTACTGAAAATTACTCTGAAGTAGAAGAGATTCTCAAAAACTCCGCATTGTGGCTTTATGTGTGATTTACAGATCCAATCGAAATCATTAACATATTTAATTTCACATTTTTCTTTCTTGTAATCTGCCATTTAACACATTTCATTCCTCTGTGATATTATGCTGGTTAAATTAGGTTTAAAGTCAGTCACGATCATTTCTTTTGGGGATAACAGCTTAGTCAGATTGCGATGTGTTGTAATTATCTTTTATTACCAGTCACAATACATCCTTTGCATATTTTTGCAAGCAGAAAAGCATAAACTGGTCTGGTCATTTGACATTTTAATAATAATAAAAAAAAAATGAAATGATATATAAAAACAAATAATAAAACTTTCAGAGCTTCAAGACAAAAAGTCATATTTGTGGGATTTAAATTGATTCATTCTTATTAGGCCTGTCACTATATCTAGTGTTTGTTGTATAATATATTGCACTAAATATAGTGCAATAAACAATAATATTGTCATTTTAAGACTATGGCTAGGCGATTAATCGAAAAGAAATCGAAATTGACGTATAATCGACATAATTTTTTTTCTGATTACTCTCCTCTCGGTTTATACTTCCATGGCTACTTTGCAGCGCATCTGATCTCTGGTCAGGTAGGACAATGAAGCCATTTTTGAGACTTTGAACTACATTGACGATGATTGGAAGCTTGAGACGGCATATTTTTTATTACAATAAAATTGTCATTTACATTTAATTATTTGTTTAAAATACTATTTGCATAGAAGTTTTATTTTAAAAATATACTGTTTTATTTTCTACTTTTAATATGAAAAACATTAAAATTATAATGATAGTTATGAAAATAATTAAATATTTTCTCCTTTTTGTAAGAAATAAAGGGACTGTTGGTTTTTAGGCAATGTGTGTTTAAATTTAAGTAGTTCAATGTTGACGTTCAATAAATAATCATAAATAGTACATTAGGCCTGTACAATTAATCGACATTGAATCGCAATCGCAGTTTGAAACCCTTCGATTAGTTGATCGCAAGAGGCTGCAGTATAAAATATATATTATGTATTTTTTAATTTTCCACAAATGCGTGTGTGACAGTCTTAGTAGGCAATTGAGTGAGCACACTTTTGTTCTGCCCAACCAGAATTGCACAACCGAACCATGCCCACAATAAAAAGAAAGAAAGCAAACAGGAAAGAGCTGACAGGTGAGATAATGGCATCTGCTTCTTCAGAAGCATTAATAGACAAATTAATTTAAAAGAAAAACAGGATGTCTGTAATATGGCAATTCAAATTCACAGACACCGGACAAAAACAGGTAATTTTTAGAAGCTGTTGTAGAATTGTTGCCACAACTTACAGATTATTAAGCTGAAGCTTGACTACAAAATTAAATTGTGAATCGAAGCGCAATCGCAATACCTGTCAGAAAAATCCCAATTACATATTTTTCCCAAACCGCACAGCCCTATAGTAGATAGTTTGTGCTTTCTTTAATTATTTTAAAATCAATTTACCAGCATGGACCATGCAGTACTTTGACCTAGACTTTTTTGTATAGGGATGAAGGGGATGATAAAGGAACAGTAGGATGAAGGGGAAGGGAAGTAATAGGATAATCAGTGAACGGGTATGTATGTTGATCAGGCATCCTACGATGATGCCCGGAGACTCAGAGTGGGGGTACTGTCTATTTAATATTTTGGTAGAGTCATCAGACCCCCCAATTCAACCTATGAGGGAACAGAGGGTTATAAGGATTGTTATGGGAAGTGAGGAAATAGAGGGAGGGAACGTAGGTTCGAGAGAACGAGAAGTACAGTGCTAGAGGCTGGTCTGCCTTAAATAAGTTTAGGGAGTAGGTGATTGGTTAAGGAGACAAAGTGAGGCGTGGTTCTGCTGCTGAACTTTTGTTAACAAGTTAACTCTATTCAATGCACCCTTCATTCAGAAATCTCCCTCTTGCAATATGTGTGCTTATTTACTGTACAAAACATTTCCGTGAATTATAAAATGGTGAAATAAAATAAATAAATTAAATAATTGTTCATTAATCGTAATAAAGTCAAAATCTTCAATTAATCAAGATTTAGATTTTAGGCTAAATCACCCAGCCCTAGTTAAGAGCATTTTATGGCACTAATTTGATAATTCCAGAATGACGATATAATATAATCACAATGCAAGTGCACTCTTGCAAACAACACATATTTTATTCTTAAGAATATTTCATTTAATTATAGACATAATAATTATTTTATAAAAGTAATTTATAGTAAATACTATAGTGTTTTTTAATCATACTGACACCTCCGATATATTGATTATTGTGACAGGCCTAATTCTTATATCAACATGCTAATATATAAAAGCAAATCTGATTGAGATGCAATGTCAGTTGATAGCCACTGTCTGAATATACACTGGCCTTCATTATGTAATTCATTCAGTTGGTTTTATGAGGGCACATGGGCCCCGTGGTCACATGACCAGACCAGACATTATGAAATACAAAGGTTCGTCACGGCTGTCAGGTCAAGCGTGTAACTGCACTCTGAGCCGGAAGCTCACGCGTCCTCAGCTTTTCTCTGCTCCAATATTAGAGCACATCCCTAAAATTCAGATTGCAAATCCTGACAGCATCTCTCGATAAATTTTGGGTAAAAAAATAAAGTGCATATATAACGGCACTGATGTAAACAGCATCTGATGTGAGAAGACATTTTTTTCCAGCTCTTGAGAAGGAGATCACCTCTCCTGCCTCTCGTGTTGCAACGTTGAAAAAAATAATAAATGAGGAAATAAGATAAGAATTGCCTGAAGCAACGAATGTGCTGGCATGAGAAGAAATTACACTGATCATGACTGGGACTCACTGTGGGAAATCCTTCCAACTGATTTAGCTGGGACCGATTGAAATGGAAAGCTCAGAGTCTGGCATATTTGGGGCACCCCATGGAGCTTGGATCCGGATTGATAATGTTTTCAAGATCTTTTTTTTCTACACGTGCAGCTTTTCTGTCAATGGATGATGTAAGGTTTTATTTTATTAGGGTTGAAGTGTGTATTATTAATATCAGTGTGTGCATTTTTCAATGTGGTTTAGTTAATTAGTATTAGTTAACACATTAGCTGTCATGAACTAACAATAGACCAACAATAAGTGTACTATAGCTTTATTTATCTGTGTGTTAGAATGTGTAGCTTTCTTTCTAACATAAAAATTATGATGGACATAATTTCATAAATTTTAATTCTCATAATTTTACATTTTTTACATTATTCTTTAGTTATCATAGTGTCATTCTCATCTTAAATATTTATTATTATCAACATTGAAAGCGGATTCATGTGTATATGCTTTTACAGGATTTTTTATGATAGAAAGTAAAATTAGGTAGTTATAATGTAAACTTTATGCTATCAAATAATACATTAAAAATATATAATAAACTATTGAAATTTTGAAAAATACAATATTTAAGACAGCACATGGAATACACAGTGCCTTTTTAGATGCTCAAAATGTATATTTTCTCCAGTATTTTTTTATAATTGACATTGAATAATAATAAAAATAATGAATGAAATCTTTCATTTTTGATGATAGTTAAATGGATTCACCAGCCAAAATAACAACACAATTAATAATAGAGCCGTTTATTTGAAAGAAATGCTTTATTACATTATAATAATTTTTTGTCACTCCTTAATCAGTTTAATCAATGTCGTCACATAATAAAAAAAAATTTTTTTTCTAAATCTTACTAAGCCCCAAATTTTGATTATAGTTTATTTATTATATAATTATGTAATTTATTGTAGTTTTTGCTGATATAAAATGCAGGGAACTGATAGACAAACTCATCACGAAACAATAAATTGTGCAAAATGCAAAAGAAAAGCATGAAACAAGGGAAAATGGCAACATACAAGACATAAATGATCTACAAAAAGACACAGCAATGGATGTTACTCTTTACATTCATTGCTGTCTTTTTGTAGGTCATATGACTTATATCTTGGCATTTTCCCTTGTTTAAGGCTTTAATTTACATTTACCTTAAAGAAGAAACAGAAGAGAAAGGAAACGGAAATAAAACAATACTATTATTCTTTATGATGTTTTAGAATATAATAAGCTGTCTGTATAAACATACACGCACATAGACACACAGCATCATGCTGTCTGTCATTCACACACATACACAAACATAGACAGCACCAAACAAATAAACACACACACACAAACACACACACACGCACGCGCGCTTGCTTGCTCGCTCCAGAGCGATATTGTGAGACCGCCCGCTTCTGTTCAAATACACCAGAGTTATTTCGGAAAATTTATTCCCGCACCGCATTAAATCTGGTCGGGTCCCACGACAATGCACAGCTACAGCCGCGGGAATGCAGACCTATATCCAGAAGTGTTGTTGTAACAGCCGAGAGGAAAAGAGATGGGAGGAAAAGTCACGCCAGCAGCCGAGAGGAAAAGTCACGCCAGCAGGTAAAATGGGCCACAGTGAGAGAGAGAGAGAGAGAGAGAGAGAGACTAATGGAGTAATGGAGTTCACTTTCATTCCCTCAATCGCAGAGAAATAGTGGCTTCTGCTGTAAGTGTCAGTGAAAGACTGTCCAGAAAACACACACACGCAGTAAAATTGTGCACAGTTT